AAAAAAAAAAAGAGTTAGTGTTTCTACAGATACTGCAAGTTATTTTGCATCTCTATTTTCAAAGACGTTTTGGGATAGTTGTGATGAATGTTTTGCTCATTGGCTCAACCGTGTTCTGGTCTCTGGTTTATGGTTGATTTATCTATTTTAATTTTTTTTTTCTTTTCATATTACTAAATAATTTTTTATTCAAAGGAAATGCTCATTATTTTTTGCGAGTCGGCTCAAGCACTGTGTCGAGCGGGATTGAATAGTGTTTCGAGCCAGATTAAACAGTATTTCGAGTCGACTCAAGCATCATTTCGAGCCGGATCTTTCCAGCTCATGAGCCAAAAATTACATTCGAGCCGACTCGTTTATACTTCAAGTTCGCTCGTTTAGAATTCGAGCCAGCTTGAAAATTGTTCGATTTCGAGCCAGCTCAAATCGAAACTTACTAGAATCAATCCATGAGCCGATTTCAATCCAATTAAAAAAAAATGACCTGATTTCGAGTTGGCTCTGGATCGCCTCGGATTTTTCACAACCGTGCTCATAGGTGGTATGAATGAAGTGGTAAAACTATGTAGAAAAAATCTTAGCTATTTGTGCATATATGAGCCTAGTAATCCAAACATAAATAGTTGCTCTATGTGTGATATTACACTTACAATTTTGTAAAGTAAAAAATATGATAAACAAAATTATAGTCATGTTATTGATGTCTTCTATTTATTTTAATGATGTTGCAATAAAATTATATATTCTAAAGTTCAAACTATGTATTTCTTTTGGATTTCCCTTTTGATATTAAAGCTAAGAATTATATTGTTTAGGTCTGAATATGAATTTGTTTTTATTAACTATTTAAAATTAATTAAATTTTTAAGTATTTCTTAAGTGTATTTTGAATAACAAGAGAACTGAAAAAATAAACGAAGAATATTTATATATTAAATATCATATTTCAACTCTAAGTAAAATTTATAAAGCCAAATAACTATAGAAATTTTTATATGATTTTATGTGACTTGGTCGTAGGTATTCACCACATATAAGATTACTTTTACAACCTATACTAAAATAAATTATTACTCATTCTCTAGATGGAGAAGTCTTTCATTGCTCTTCACTTTGATGTATCCTCTCTTCTATTTAAATAATATATTTATATTTCTTCTTAGCAAATGTACATTTTCAAAATGTTTTCTACTAAAATACTTAAATAAAAATATAAGATACCATTGACAACAAAAAAAAAAAAAAAGAGAATATATTTTCATGCTAAGATATAAATATGTGTAAGGAACCAAGCTCAACATCAATAAAATCTAAAGACATTGCATCTTGTTCAAGAAAACAAGCTCTTCTTCCTTTAAATGATATATTTCTTTTTTTTTTTTTAGAGAAAAATACTTTGCAAGGATCTAACTCCTTAAGAGAATATTTATATTATATTTCTTAAGTTCTAATTAATTAGTTAAAAATTGTAAATTAAGTTTTTTAGCATTTATTGCAGTATTCATAACTTAAAAATGATGTATTTAATGTCTTTGATTAAATCTTAAATGATTAAAAATCATTTTTAAAGTTTTTAGATTTTGACCTTTGTGGAGGTCCATAAACTTGCTTATCAAACCAACAAAATTTTGTAGAGACCCATTATAATTACTTTTATAAATCTAAAGTCTATGAATTCTTAAAAGGCCTTGCACTACTTCAAGGAGATTCAAAATAACTTCACAAATACTCACAAATTTTTGTGAAAGCACATTTTTCCTATTTTATTTTTTTTATTATTTTGTTTCAAAAGATTTATATTAAATTTATTAATACATCTATTTAAACAACCATTTATAAGATCCTAAATATTATCAAAAAAATTACCTTACTAAGAATATAGTTTTATACTTCTAGAATGATACACAATTTTTATTTTGCTCAAATTAAATAAAGCTTCCCTTACTTGATTGTCAATAAGACCTTCAATATTTTATGATATATGATTTTTACATATAGAAGACACAATAGATCTCCTAGTACTTTAGCATAAATTTTCATGTGTCATATCATGACGGTGTATATCTAAATGCTTTAAAAAACCAACAATCTTCAATTCTTTAGTGTAATTTGCGAACATCAAAATTTATATGATGTTATAAACTAATCAGGTCAACATTTTAGGTAATTGTTGAAAATAAAACATTATCTCTCAATATTTACTTTTTAGCTAGGAGATCTATAGTTTAATATGGACTTGAGGTCCTCACTTTTTTTTTTAAGATTGTGAGAGAATGTTTAAGAGAGTTATAAGAATGTTGGAGGTGTCTTGGGGTTAAGATAGGAAAATATGTATGGTTAAGTGATCTTCAAGCGAAAAAGATTGGAATTTTGTTAGAGTGGGGAAGAGGAAGAGTTGAAAAAGTAATTAAAGAGTCACTAAAACCCCAAAATATAAGCCACCAAGCTTCATGAATGAGTATAGATGCCACCATTGCTTTTCATACAAAATTTGGATAAGAAAAAGGTTATTTTTTTTAATGAAATCAAAAGTATAAAATAAATTTTTATTTGTAAGCCTTTCTCAACATTAAATAAGTTTAGAAGGCATTTCGAGCCAGTATAGCATTATTGCATTGATCGATCACTTGTAATGAGAGAGAAAATTTAAAAAAAATACATATATATTTTTTAAATTTTCTAAAAATCAATAAAATTCAACAAAGCCTAATATGGCAAGTAAAAATGTTCTAAAACTAAGCAATATTAGAAGATCTTCAACTACACACTTGGTGTAATTGACCTATCATCAAGAGATCTTATATTAACTTCCTTAATTATTCTCCAATTATTTATGAAGGATTAGTATTTGCCTATTGACTTGCTTGGAGAGTTGTACATGATCATCCCAACTCATGATGCAGTGACTTGATTTGTGAAATTGCTATTGACCTTTTTATTCATGTTGCCTCAAATGATGAATCAAATTAACTTTTGACACATCTTATAACTCAATTTTTAACATTGTTATGACTTTTAAAGTGACATGCACATTCAAAAAAAAAAACCTTGTTCTTTCATACCTCAGGCCAAAAATAACTCCTCGAATAACAACAGGAACCATCATTCAAATACTGATATAACGGTACTGGAACATTCACATAAAATTAGAAGGATATATGTAGAAAACATTTTACAAACTGCACCTAAAAGAAAAAAAAAAATCGAATAAATATAAAGGTACAGATTAAATAATGTACACTGCCGGTACAAAAAGTGGGAGAAATATGAAGTCAATCAAAGTCCCAAATATTTAACCATGTAAGGGCCTTCAAGCTCATAACCAAGTTTCCTGTAATAATGGCGAGTGCCAACACCAGAAATTACCGCAAGTTTAGCCGACCTATGCTCCCTCCCAGCTATCCTCTCTGCTTCTTCCATCAGAAGTGTTCCATATCCCTGCACCATCAGCCACAATGTTTTTAAAGTGCTAAGAGTTTCTCTGAATCTGAAAACTTCAGCTCAATTTTTCAGGAAATTATATGCTGCCAAACTTCAATAGCACATATTTCTTAACATTTTAGCATAACTATAAGATGAGTCACAAATTCATCATCATATTATAAGAAATAATCTGCATCACATACTATCTCAAACTGGAGAGAGAAATAATTCACTCAGGATCTGCTAATGAAACACATGAAATCTAAATAAGATGCTAGAGAAGAAATCGACAAAGAAAAAAATATGATTAGAGAAGGGGCATTATTACATGCATACCACCCAATTCTTATGTATTTGCATATCTTGCGCCTAAACTTTACTTTTTTTTACATTCATACCGCCCAAAATTTTCAAATCACATAAAAAATACCACCATTTTAACTTTTTAAAAGTGAAATACACCTTTTAATGCATCGAGAAGTGACATGTATGTAAAAATTGATGTTTAGGTGTTTGGTATGAGAATACGTAAGAATTGAGTGGTATGTACATAAATCTTTCTAAAAGAAAAAGTCACCTGGTGCTGCAGCTTATCAGTATCGCGTCCGTGCACTGGAACTGCAGTTCCATAGACATGAAGCTCACGAATGATAGAACACCTTACGTTCTTCAATTCATCGCATGTAGTATTACGACCACATTTACGCAACCGTAGCAAACCAACGAGGATATCCTATGACACACAAGATAAAGTATATTTGCAAAGGAAAGCAATTTAGATAACCAATTAGTTTTGGAAGCAGAAAATGGCCACAAGACAAAAGCATATTAACATCAACTATTAATTTGATATATTTGAAAATCTCAATCGAATATGAAATTTTAGGTTTAATTATTACCTGTCTTGTATCTTCATATGAAAGGAAAGTCTCCCAGCCCTCATTTGCCGCATAATCTCGTCGCACAAGCTCTACTTCCTCTGGTTTGATTTTGTGATGAATGTTCTGAAAATCATAAAAAAAGGAAAGCAAGAAAAAGGTCAAAAAGAAAAATTAAAAAATCATAACTTTATTTAAACTTGAGAGTTATTGATATACAATAAGTAACCTGAATTCCAGCCTCACGTGTTCGAACATCACGACATTTTAAGCCCAAATCATCCATTCGAGCCAGGGCAAGCTCACGGAGGTTTCCTTTCTCAACACCAGAAGTAACTAATGGCATGGGAATATCTCTTTGGACTCTGTAGACACGGGTCCATGGTGGTACCAAGGCTAAAATCCTTGCAATTATGTCCACAAGAAGCTCTGGTGGATAATTTCGATACCTGAAACAAAAATATTAATGAATTAGCAAGCAAAATATATAAATTTTGCATTTATTAACCATTTGGGATCACTCTTATTTTTTGTTCTCTTTTTTTTTTAATTTATTTTATTTGTTCATTTTTTATCTGAACAAGACAAGTTTAATTTGTCTGATTAAGATATGGCTGTTTTTGAAAGCACTCAAAACACCTAAAAGTTGTTCCGATGATTTTCAAAAACATGTTTATGTATTTTTAAAAAAAAAATAAAAAATAAAAACACAAAAAATATACTAAATAAACATGTTTTTAAAAACAAAAGTAAAAATAAAAACAAAAATAGAAAATAAAATTGATTCCAAGCATGCCCTTAACTAACCAGTTCTTCAATGAGCAAACAAACCAATACCCTATAAGATGCAATAACTTAACAAACAGTATAGAACTGCTGTTACCTGCCGGTTTTCCAAAGCTCATAAAGGCCAGTTCCACGAATTACGAGCGTTGGGTAAATTTTGAGACCATCTGCCCTAAAAGCTGGGCTATCAAAAAATTCACGGAAACTTTCCAAATCTCTTTCAATACCAACATTTGGAAGATCAGGCATCATGTGTGCAACAACCTAGAAGAGAAATAAAGCATCCTTCAAATAATAAATTGAATGCAAAGGATAGCAATCCATCCAAAAGTTGCATTCATTATGGATTACAGTGAAGAATAAAATCAAATAAAAATATTTCAAATGAGGAAACCTAGTATGAATACTTTTTAAATTAGACTATGATAAGCAATTAGCATGAAATGATTTAAAAAAGAGAGGATTCAATTTTTAGGGAACAGTACTGTCAAAAAAAAAGGAAAGTCCACACATATTTACTGAAAAATGGGGACGTCGGTCACCAAAAACTATAGGAGCTTGATTCACCAATAGCACATGGGAGGTTACTTGCCAACAAAGAAATCTCTCATTTACATTCATCCCCCAAGTCTCTAAAAATAACGCCATAAATAAGCCTTTTATAGTCTTAAAATTGTTACTAAAGCGACAGGAAGAGGTTGTGAATAAATAACATAATTTCTGGGAGGGCTGGTTGTGTTTGAATTACATTTAATAGTGACACGCTGCTACATAATATCTATACAAAGGCTACTTCATCACCCCCTTTTCCCTAATGATCGGAGACTTCCAAGCACTAAGATTACAATTGTGACAATTCCAATGCTTCATAGAATATATGTGATTTAACAATAATGAGCAACTAAGTCATCATCGGTGTGGCATACTTACGAATTATGAGTGAATGCACCTGTTGGCTACAAATCTTGGCTGCCCCAACATCATTAATATGGTTTTTGGACAAGTTGGTTCGACCCAATGGGCCTACATCCTTTGCTATCTCCTTAGGAAAAAAAGAGAGGATATTTGAACTGATGGAACATTATGATAAAGAATCAACTTTAGCCCATCACAATAGATCATAAAAGTTGACTGCAAATTGACAATTAACTATAAAGCACTTCATTAACTTGAGCATTTGGAATTTTACTTTGATTGGCATTCATGTGTAGGCCGCACTTTAGAATTACCAAATATGTATTTAGGCACCCAAGGGGGAGGCAATAATAGATTAAATTTAGAAGGGAAGCAACAACAAAAACAACAAAAAGCCTTTATCCCACTAGGTAGAGTCGGGTACATGAATCCTTTTTCTCCATTGCGTCTTATTGAGTGTCATATTTTCATTTAATTCTAATAGATTAAGATCATTTTTTTATATAAAATGACCAAGTCTTTTTAGGTCTACCTCAGCCTTTCTTAACATAAGTCGAATCTAAAACATCTACTCTCCTAACTTGATCATCAGATGGTCGATGTTTAATGATGTTTAATGTGACAAAACGTGACAAAACCATCTAAGATGACTCACTCTAATCTTGTCTTCCACTAGAGCTACACCAACCCTACCACGTATATATTCATTTTGCATTTTATCTCCAAGTGTCAAGCCACTCATCCGCCTAAGCATTCTCATCTCAGCAACACTAAACATTGTTTTATGCTTCTCTTTTAAAGGCCATCATTCTGCGCTAGAGAGCAGTGCAGGTCTCACCATCATCTTCTAAAATTTTTCTTTCAGTCCAAGCGACACTTTTCCAATCACACAATAGGCTCAAAGCATTGTTCCACTTCAAGCAACCAACATGAATTCTACTAATAGCATCTCCATCTATATCACCATCACTTAGAACAATAGACCCGAGATATTTATAACATTTACACCTTTTAATAATTTGATCACCCATATTTACAACTCCGCCACTAGAGCTACTACTACTAAAATTACATTTCTTGTATTCAGGTTTAGTTCTACTCAAACGAAGACCTTTAGACTCCAATGTAGACCTCCATAATTCAAGCTTTTCTTAAACTTTTTCTCAGTCTTAGCCACAAGAAGGAAATCATTGGCGAAAAGCATACACAAAGGTACATCCTCCTATAAATGTCCAGAAAGAGCATTCATACTTATAGCAAAAAGATACGGGCTTAAAGTTGGTCCCTGATATAATCCAACTGAAATAGAAAAATACTTGGTCAGTCCTCCTTTTGTTCCAACACAAGTAACAGCTCTAGTATATATATCTTTAATGACTTGAATATAAGTCATATCAACATATTCTTCCCTAGAACTCTCCAAAGGACTTCTTTTGGAACCTTATCATATCCACCTTATTCTCTTTTTACTTCTCGATCAAACCTCTAATAAATGTATAACTTCCATAGTAGACCTGCTCAACATAAATCCAAGCTCATTATGAGAAATATTTGTATAACGTCTTACCCTATGTTCAATTACCCTCTCCCACACTCTGAAGTATGACATATCAACTTAATTCCTCTATAATTTGCACAATCTTGTACATCCCCTTTATTCTTAAAAATGAGGACCAAACTACTCTTCCTCAACTCCTCAAGCATCTTTTTAGTTTTTAAAATAATATTAAAGAGTTTAGCAAGCTAAGAACTCCCAAATTTCTTTAATATTTTCACCCTTCAATTGGGATATCATAAAGTCATACTATTTTTTTAGCCTTGGGTTTTTTTAAAGCATCCTCAACTTCTTTTTTACTAAATGTGATTTTAAAAATAAAATATTTTATTATTATTAATGATATTAAGATCACTATGATCGATCTAATTTTTAAAAACTTCATTGAAAATTTTATCAAAGTCGCTCACCTAAATATGTTAAATATCTTCCTTTTTTATTTTAATCTTTAATACATTTTACTTGAATTAAATCTTTAGTTTTCTTTTCTCTTTGTTTGGCTAGTTTAAACATGTATTTTTCACCCTCTTTAGTCTCTAACTTATTATAAAGATCACTTAAAATAAAACTTTTAGCATCACAAGTTGTTCTCTTAGACTATTTATACGACCGCATTATATTTTTCTCAAGTTCTCTATACTTTTACATCTAAGCCAATTTTTATAATACTTTTTATATTTTATCATTTCTTACACCATAAACTATTTTTATTTATAGAAACTTTTCATTTTGATTCTCCAAGCACACCTTTTGTCACTTGTTTAATAGTGTTTGTTACTTTATCCCACATGGAATTTGCTTCTTCATAAAATTGAGAAGGGAAGGACAAGAAAAAAAAACATTTCTCTCACATTCCACCATGGATAGCTTAGTCATTGAGTTGTATTCAAAGTTGATAAACAACGAATTCGAGGACATTTCAATGCACCAAATGATACCAGAGTTAACCCAAAATACGACACAAGACACGGATTTTATTAATAACTTAAAAAGAGGATTACAACGTGGACTCAAAGAAAGAAACACATTACGCGAATCAAACATTAAAACAAAACATTAAAGCAAAGACTAAACATAAAAAAGCACAGCAAGCTCGTCGAGGAGAGAGTCCGGTGAGATGTTGTAGCGGCGGCTGTGGTGATGGCCAGAGCGAAATCAAAGTGAGAGTAAGCCAGCGCACGTCGAGGCGTTGAACCATAGCCAGAAGAGTAGAGGACTTCATCGTGAACCGGCACACGGAGGCGACAGTAGTGGCGGCCAAAGCCGAGGAGCGGAGGCAAGGAAGACCGCTGAAGCCAAGGAGCGGAGGCACAAAAGGCAGTCGAAGCCGATGAGCGGAGGCACGAAAGGCTGCAGAGCCGAGGGGCAGAGGCACGGAAGGAGACCGAAATAGAGGAACAAAGGCACGAATGATAGTTGAAGCCAAGGAGCGGAGGCACAAGCAGTGGTGGAGAAGGGTTGTGGTCTGTTGTGTGGGAGGCAACAGGAACTACGACCTGTAAGGAAGCTGCAGCGGAAGGTGATTGTCGACGATTTTGGAAAGCAGCAGACGACTGCGGTGCTCAGGAGGACAATAAGAAGATAGTGAGGCTGCCTGTTGGAGGCGTGCGCTGATCAGGGAGGACAGCCAGCGATTGCTTTGTCCACTGAGGGAGATAGGGCAACTGAGCTGTGGTCTGGATGAGAAAGCAAGGAGAACCAGAGGGCTGTAGGAGGGCGAGAGGTGGAAAGCTGAGCTGGAGGGCAAAAACGATGGTGGACTGTGGGACAACTGTCAGAGTAAGGAAGATAAACACCACCTCAGACGGGAATACGGTCAGAGCACCTTTCTCGCCGTCGATACAACCCTTCGAGAAGGAAAATACTCATATAAACTGAAACCAACTTTTGAAAACAAGACCCTTAACCTAGACACAAAAACTCTTATTTATAAAAGACTTGACAACTATAGGAAACATTAAAATAGGAAAGAAATAATATTAGATTTCAGAATTTATTCAATACTTTTAAAATAGGAAAGGAAATAAAATCAGATTTCACGTTTAATGCAAAAGTTTTGAAATTAGAAGGAGAATAAAATCAGATTTTGATTTTTAGGGAAGGTTATAGAATTAGGAAAGATTTAGGGAGGCAAAAAAGGAATGAAAAAAAAGGAAGGGCAAGGAGGGGTGGAAAAGGAAAGGAAAAAAAGTAGGAGGGGGTGGGGTGGGGGACCAGCCGGTCCAACAAGACTAGACATGCGCCCAATTAGCACTCCCATGAGCCCCGTGTCTGCCTCGAAGTTGGGGGAGCTTCGACCTCAACTGTCAAAGCTTTTAGATCCTCAAAGTATTGAGTAAGATCTACAACATTGAAAGTGGCTAAAATGTTATAGTCCCCTGATAAATCAAACTTATATGCATTTTCGTTGAGTTTTTGCAAAATCCTAAAAGGACAGTCTACTTTGGGTTTCAGTTTTCCGAAAGCTCCTACGAGAAATCGTTTCCTTTTCAACTGGATCCAGAAGAGAATGTCATATTTTTCCTTGATTTGTTTGCTTGTGCTTGATATTTTTTGTTTTGTCTAGCAATCTCTTTACCAACCTCTTCATGTATTTGTTGGATTTCATGAACCCGCTTTGTAGTATCTTGGTTGAGTTCTGACGTTGGTAGGAGTGGAATTAGATCAAGTGGTGTGAGTAGATTGTGGTCGTAGACAATCTTGAATGGATTGCATCTCGTTGTCTGACTCGTGGATCTATTGTAGGCGAATTCTGCTTGGACGAGAATGAGATCCCATTGTTTGATATTCTTTC